ACACGTCTAACTGATCCATATTCATCAAATTTAATGGATTTTTCACCAACTGATCCAACATGGCCTGCATATATGAGATGTAATCCAATATTAAATTATTCATATAACGATATATGGATATTTTTGAGAAAATTTGATGTTCCTTATTGTCGAATGTATGATCAAGGTTTTACATCTTTAGGTGATAAAGAAACAACAATTAAAAATCCAAAATTACTATATAAAAATAATGATACAGGTTTAATGGAATACAAACCAGCTTATTTATTAGAAGATGAGATCAGCGAACGAGATGGACGTGTACGATAAATTATAAAATAAATTATTATGAAAGCTTTTTTTCTTATGAGTGGTAATTTATTGCTGAAGAAAATTAATAATTTAGTAAAAATTTAATTGAAAATGATCAATAGAATGCTTCAACTAATGAAAAGAAAAGAAAAATTTTCCGTTTATTTATTTCTATGTTTTTAGGCATGATGTTAAGCGTATATAATATTTTTTTGTTTTTCTTTTGCTAATATTATGACGATGTCAGTTAGTTTCTTGTTCTCTATAAAAAAAAAGCTTTTTTTATATTAAAAAATCTTTTTTTCCATGAGGCAAGGTGTTATGATATGCCATCTATATCATAATATATGTTAATCCTTCCTGTTGCTTTCCTCTTCTTTTCGTTCTCTTTTTCTATTCTTTTGGTGTTATGTATATATGCACCTCGACATACTAACGGTGGTAATTCTTTGATTTAAAGAAATCAACAAACGTTTATGTTCTGCACTATTGGAACATCCATGATTTGCCCTTAAAACAAGTATATTAGAAGTAGAACAGAACAGAACAGTGACAAACTTTTATCACAATATAATGTTTATTGCTTCTGTTATAATAATTTGAACTGGAAGTTCCTTTTAGATTGATATTTTCTCTTGTAACTATTCAATCGAAATCTTTTGTCCTTACTGATCGTATTGGAGTAAATGCCTCAATAAATATAGTCGAATAAGCTATTTTTTACATTTTTGACTTATTTCTTCGTAGTTTCTCACTTTTTTTTAAAAAACGTTTTCCACTAAGATTTCTTGAATATGACGAATAAATATTCTTTTATAGCTAATATTAGAGAGCATTAAGTTGTAGTAAACCGAAATACGAAACAATCGACATTCGATTTCAGAGATTGTATAGTAGGAAGTTGCGAATACACGTTTTTGTAAATCCGAACTTAGCCGAGTTCACAGCCTAGTTTTTTTTTCAACAAGATCTATCATTAACATTGTCAAATCAGCAGTAACACCAAAATCATCAGTCGTATGGCAGTGGTTTAGTCGTACTTAAGTCAAAAATATCAAACCTATGAAAAGAAAAAGAGTATATGATAGGGTGACTACGAATCTTCTCTATTTAAATTAGAAATAGAATTCAAATTGACTTGAAAAATTAATCTGCATATGGAGTCAGACCCGAAAGAAAAAAGAAAAGAAAACTTTGAATCCAGATTTCGTCGAATGTGTAGCCAGTCATACGTCTAGAAAGATTCGCAGCTCTCTATTAGATGAAGATCATGCAATATCGCATGTATTTGTTCAACATCAACTATTCTAAGTCTTTATGTCTTATGTTTAATAATTCAACAAATTCTTCTTATAACAAATAGTCAAACATGGTATCAATATAATAAAAATATTCACATATATAATATTGGAAAGAGTTTTCGATCAAATTTATAACTTGTCTTTGGTAAACGATGGTATGCCATATGATATAAATAAAGTTGAAACAACTCATACACAATATAATGATACAAAACGCATTTAAATACAAGTCAAAATGAAAAAAAAATGATTCCAGTTTATTTCAGATGTCTCTTTCAGGTTTATAACGCGTTGCTGATACTGATGGCAGTAATTTTCATCATCGTGAACGTATAGCTACACATTATTATGTTAGTGCAGAAACAAAATCACGTGTTCGATTATTAATTTATCTTCATTTTGTTCTTTTTCAAACACTAGCATATCATATACCGTTAGTAAAAACAATAAATGTTTCACGATCACATCTATAGCAATATGTATCGGTCATTAGTATTTTACCATCAATATGTAATCTTTTATCAATGAATAAAAATCATGTTTTTTTTAATGAAATTATTTTTTCGTTGTACAGTTACATTTGGTTTAGGTACAATAATGACAACAATTATACTTAATTTAAGTGATTTATTTACTTTTAAAAAATTAAAATCTTATCATCAATTAGATGAAGTTGAACTACAAACATTTCTTGGTTTTCATTATTAATACTTTGGTATATATTTTTGATTATAATGGTGCAAATACATGCATTCAGTTTATATATGACTAATGTTTTATTACATAGTTGGCAACAATATAAGCCAATGAAACGGAATTAAATAGTTATTTAAAATTTGAATAATCCCTGCGTGTGATTCATTTTTGTGCAATCCTTTTCTTCAGTTGATTTAGTATTAAACAACGAACGGAAATATACGAAAAAGAAGAAGAGATAAGAAAAGAAATTGTTGGTTTTATTTTACTCTTGAGATTCATGTCCTTAAAGATGAAAATATATTAAGAGATATTGAAACTTGAATAAATTTCGGTGAATTGTATGTAAGAAGCAGAGATATGATCGATTCGGTTTCGAAAAAAAAATACTGAAACCAATCTTGTCTCTGAGAAGAACATAGCTGATGATAAGACAGTATCACTGACGAAGTTTGTTATCAGCAAAACGGTTGAATTATTAACAAAAACGAAAATAAAACATCATCGTAGCCTAAACGTTGGTGTTCGTTCTAATCATTGTAAATATGCTGAAGTATGTCTAAGTGATGTGTCATTCTTTGAATTCATTTACTCAATGCGAGATACGAGACAGTTATACAATTTTTTATATCTATTATCAAAGAGAAAAAAAAGCATACTTGTATATTTCTGAAATATGTAAAAATATAGAAATACTAAGAGATACTGATGAAATGGCAAATAATGTACAAAAAAAATCGAATATTTTCTATAAGGTCAATATTTTTATTGTATATATGAATGTAAGAATGTGATAATAGTTTTGATCCAACGAATTGTTGAAAAGTTCATTGGAATAGAAACTAAACTGATCAATTTCAGGTTATCAAATTAACTATAACTTTTCAGGACTCATCTTACGATGAGATCTGGAACTTTTTCATGATACTTACCATCGAGATGGAAAATGTGGATTTCGAGATTTTAATGAATTTCAGTAAATTTCATGGAATTTTAAAAGGCTGTAAAGATTTTATGAACCTCCCATATTTACAGCCGTAGAGTCTGCAGTTTTGCCTTTGTTCGAGAGTTACATGTTACATTTTGAACTCACTGAATAAGTTAAAAAGGTTACAGATATCTGTTAGAAGTAGTTTTCGAACGATTTTAGGGAGCTTGTTAACTTTGAGTTTACCAGATCAGTGCATATCAAATGCATTGTCTCACAAGTGTCAATTATTGCACATTTTACAATTTGATATTAAACCACAAAGTATTTTCTTATGGTATAATGAGCGTAAAAAAAACCTTGCTCTGACAAACCACATGAATGATAACAAAACTATATGGGGGTCATAATTGACTTCAAGTAACTTAGGAACTTGAACCCTTCTAAACATTTCATACTCCTATAGAGAATTATTCATATGAAATCAAATCTTGAAAGATTAGCATTTCTCGTTTATATAATTTAGTGCATCATAATATCCTAAACTTGTAATAAAAATGCTGTTTCACTGTTGTCAAATACAGAATGTTTTCTTCTTATTGATGTAATAGACAAAGAACTATTTATGAACTATTTATTAAAGAAGAAGAGTACATATAATTAGCACCACAAACAAAAATCAGCTTAAAAAGGAATTATATATGTAAGTCTATACTATTGAATTGATTTGTGTATTTAAAAGTATTTACGATAAATCATTGATGAACCAGCTTCATCATATTTTTGTTTTGAAATCCACATTTGTTGAAAGATTGAAAGTGAAGCTAAAGCTGTTATTTCTTTTTGCATACGATCAGCAATACCAGGATACATTGAAGTACTTAAATAATTTCAAAAAATAAAATAAAATAATTCTGATAAATTATTAATTTTACCTTCTGATAAGACAGTGTTAGCATATAAATCCTTACGAATATCAGTGTCATAAATATCATAATTGAATTAAATGTTGTTTCATGAATACCAGCAACTTCCATACCCTAGAAAGTATTTATTCAATAAATTATCAATAAATACATAAAAATAAATCAATAGACATACCAAGAATAAAGATTGAACGAGTGATTCTGGACAACGGACACGTTCATTACTAATGGTAATAACTTGACCATCAGTTAATGCATAACTCTTGGTACTTATCATGTAAAACTTTCATTTTCGATGATAGAGGACTCGTTGTTATCAAGGTTTTTTAATTAATGACATTGTTTATTTTAATCTAAAGAAAAGAACCAACAAGAATATCTTGATAATCGGATTAGATTTGACTTTTTTTTCCCGCACTTTTGTTGTTCTCGTAGCTGTGTTATATAAGCATATTTTGGTGTTAATTGATCATTTGCTGTTAAAATCGCCTATATATTAACAAAAAAAGAATTATTATTTATACGAGATTTTCGCGTAATAATCTTGATTTATTCGATTGTCCCGATGGTTTTACATCAATTCAACTATCGAAATGACATAAATCTATTGGTTGGAATTTTTGAGATGAGTCTGTTCAACCTGTGATAATCGATTCTGAACAACCATCGTAAAAATATCATATAATAACATTCTTATTCGACTTACATCTCAAAGGTTTGAACCAAAACAAACAGTCGGTTGTAATTGTAATTCTTTTGGCATATTCTCCATTGAACAAATTAATATACCAGGACCATCAAAACTAAAGATATTTTTATTTTTTGTTCGATTTATTTAAATGATTTATTAATTATTTTTGTGTAGATGTATTTGTTTTAGGATTATATAATAAAAATGGATGATCAATACTTGTTATTTATTGAAATATTTCAATACTACCATCTTTATTAGTTGTTATATCACAAATAACTATAAGTCGATGAGGTAATGATGGACAATCATATTTCGAACCATTTTATGTCCATTTTGGTGATAGAATTCATAATTGATTTGCATTATCAATATGAATTCATTTTGGTTGAGATGGTTTCCAATAAACTCTATTGATTATACATGAAACATATGAAACAATCTATAGAAAATTTATATATTTAAAAGTGTATGATGAATAAGAAAATCAAATAGATAAAAATTATAAATACAGTTAGCAGTGAATTTTATATTCGATGTAGATTTTTTTTTGCTCTTAGAAGTAATATTCTGAATAAAATTTCTATTTACTAAATTTAAGAAATTCTTGTTCATCGTATTCACCTATTTCTTTATTAATTAAATGATCTTTACGATTAATAACACATTCATAGATTTTATTAATCAATTTAAATAAAATAATGAAAGGAATTATTTTCTTAACTGGTATAATAAAAATATTACTTACTTCTATGTTGAGTAACTTCTGAAAGAACTTTTGAATCGGTATTTTCAACTGATGATTCACAAAAGATTTCTTGAGCAACCTAAAGTTCACATGTTAATCTATAATTGAATATTTCTTTTTTGCTTGAGAAATATTTCCTCATTCAGTAAAAACAATAATCAATGGTTCAATGGATTCCGGCATAAGACCTAATACAATTTCATGTTCAGTATCTCGAATAGCTATTCGAGCTTGTTCATTATTTCGATCACTTTGTACTAGACCAATATGCTAATTATAAAGATTTTTCTTTCAATTTTTTTTATCTGTCCTTACCATAAATGGTTATTGACAGTTATATGTATATGAAAACATGAAATAAATTTTATTTGATATTAATAAATCAATAGAAACTTGTTTAACACTAATTATAAATTATGCTTCACTTAAATCTTCTTGAACAATAGTATCTGCTTGAACATACGAAAAAAAGGAAAAGCGCAACGATTTTATGCTTGTATAAGTGTTCGAGCATGTTTAGGTGTTAAGAAAGAACAACATTTTCATGGAGACTGATCTTCACGACGAATAGTGACTACATATTTTGAACTAGTAGAATGACAGCATAGTGTAAAATGTACGAGAGTATTTGATTCTAAGTTTAGTCGAAAAGAGACATTGGAAATAGATGTTTATTATATCATCACAAATATTGATCAAACTAAAAAATCTTATTGGTTAGGTCTCAATAATCGGTAAATAGTCTATTTTTTTCTATATGAAGTGCTTATTTTACCTGTATTTTTTTGACACTTGTAATATGAGGATATTCTTTACATTGAGTAGGTGTTTTATCTGTATTTTTTTTTGATGATAGGAATATATAGATATTGAATGGATGAATACAGATGATTAAACATCATAATAAAGTTCTGTGCATTATTGTACGTTTTTTGGCTATATTATATGTTTGAAGTATATGAAGAACTTTTTGAAGCCGATAATATGAGTGAGAACAAGTTAACATTAGAGTCGAGTAAGGTTTTGAAAAAAAAATTTTTAAATAATCTAGGTGGTAAATAGATGTATTGTTTTAATAAAATAAATTTCAATATGATTTCATTCAAATATATGTACTTTGTTCATCGTTTATTATTTTCAGTAGTCAAACACATAACATTTTCAAAATTGATACTAATCGTCTTTTCGAATTATGCATTTTTATCAATGTCAATTTCGAATTTTACTGATATCCATTGAGTGTTGCTATACCTGAACGATCGAAATAGTTTGTCTGATCTGATTATCATTCATTGTTAATTAACTGTTTAGAATGCTAATGAGAAAATAATAAAATATTTTTCAATATTCTTAGACAAGACAATCAAAATTAATATCATTCTTATTATTCGGCCAAACTTCAATAAAAATATGATATTCGTGATCAGCAAGACGAGTTCTACAAGACTAGATACAAAAATTTTAAATTTTAGATAAAAAATTTTGAAGGGTATTTCTATAAATGTGCAAGTGTCATTTGGTTCCCATTTCGTGAAATGAAAACTAGTGAAATCGTGACTTCCTTTGTTATATGAATTATTCGACATTATTTTATTTTTATTAAGAAAAGAAAAATACTGTTTTAGCTAACAAGAAGTTTTCTCAAATTTGTAAAGATTTTATTCTTAATATAGTTTTCTTCATCTGAAGCGAGTCCATTAGAACAATCAGTAATTATTAAAAGTTTTATTTGTCTACGAATAGATAATAATTCATTATCATATCTTAATTTACGTCTGTGAGAAACGATGTTATTATAAGCAGTAATTAATATTTCAATATCTGGTGTTAATAATAATAAACGTTTGATATGATAATAATTTATTTCATCCTTATAATTTACTATTAATTTTCGTACTTTATTTAATACTAATTTTTTATCATTCATCAAATTTTCATCCAATTTACATAATACAATTTCCATTGTAAATAAATTTGGAAATTGATCATTTATAAATTGAATTAATTTTGGACTTAATTGGTCTTTGCTATAAGATATTTCGATATGTTCAACTGTTGGGAATAATAGAATATCTTTTGTATCACTTATATTTTGATAAACAATATTATTTGATACATTTGATAATTGTTTAAATCCATAAGGTAATGATAGAAATGAATAATAATCAGGATAATCATCTTTATACCATATAAGTCGATCATTATTAAACTCATTTTGTATTATTTGAGGCTTTAAATGTAATTGACGAAATCGAATATAAAAATAAAATCTTTTTAAATTTGATAATTTTTCAAGAATTTCATTCTCTGTATATTTGTCGTCCATACCATTTATTTTAAGTTTAAACATTTGTAATAGTGGTGATTGTTTAAGTTGAATTAAAAAATAATTTAAATCATTTCGGTTAATATATTTACATTCAAAATGACATTTAATTAATTTTGATAAGAAAAAATTTGATTTATTTTCATTTATGTGACCTTCTCTATTGACAACTTTACCACAGAAATATTTTAATGATCGAAGAGTATGTAATAAACGAGTTAGATTATCTAGATCTACTAAATAAATAGTTAAATTTTGTAAACAATGATTGATTGTTTTGAAATTATCATAATCTAGGTACAAAGGAAAATTTCGCATTAAAGTAAAACTTTGTAATAATGAATCTTCTTCAAATAATGCTGCAATAATTTCGCGCGTAAGATAAGGATCGGCATATAATTTATATTCATTTTGATTTTCACTCAAATTTAAATACTTTAGTTGTTTGAGAAATTTTAAATATTTTAAACATTTAGTTAAAGGTAAAAACTGAATATTTGTTATAAATAATGAGTCAAGTTTTGGATAAGAGTTTAATGACTGAAATATTTTGTCAATTTGCTCATCATCTACATTGATTATTTCTATTTTTGGAGATAAATTTGGAAGATATTTTAAAAACCAATCTTCTGATATTTGTGTTAAATCAATATTTGTATTTATATTAAAATATGAAATAACAATTTGTTGAAAAGAATAATTTAAATTGAAAAATATTTTAATTATTACATGTTGTGGAAAATAAGGAAATACATGATATATAAATAATTCAACTGGTAAATCTTCACTAAATATATAAATGCGTTTACATTGTTTGTTTCAGAGAAGTAAAAACTTATCGGGAAATTTTCTGTTGATCGAGTCCGAGACCTATCTGACGGATGCTACTCTAAAAGTGAAAGTTAATTGTAACTAGATTCTTATAAGAACAGTCATCCTCAAGAATATTAAGAATAAGGTTCGCCAGTGTTTTATTCAGCGTGGAGTTTTGCAGTTTTCGAAACTGATTCTGACCTTCGGGATGTGAGATTTTTGTGCCTGATACTACACATACCCTCCTCTACTCGAAACAGTTTTCGTGCTCTCACAAAAAAATTTTGATTAAAAGACAGGTTCAGATCGGAATTCACAAATTAGACTATACGAGACTCAATCAATCTCGATTAATAACAACAGTGTTGGCAGAATATTTCTAAGTATTTCTTCCGTAATTTGGGAACTGCACCGAAGAAATCTATTCTTTTCTATGACTGCGGTATTCCGCAGACCATCCTGGTCCGGCACAGAAGATTAAATCAAGCTTTATTCCTTCAGATAACCTCAGTCGACCGCAACTAGTCTCTGTTTATACTATTTTCATTTATAATGAGCATTTTATACAAAAAAAAACTGGAACTTACAGTTTTGATAACTTTGTGTGATCATTATCCTTGATTGTTGAAGGATCTGTTTTGAATTTTTTCGAATTCGATACAAAATCTATATATAGAATACTATTCAAGTATAATTGTTTTTCTAGATAAGTTTACTTACTCTTATTATGGTGTTTGGTTTTCATTATCGAAGTAATAGAATTATATTTTTTATTCTCCATTTTTTATTATCACTTATAACCAAACAAATAAAAAACAATTGTATTCGTATACCAAATGAATGAAGATTAAGTCAATATATTACACAGTCTTTTATAATCAAATAACGGTATGATGAAAGAAACTCACGTGATTGAAATAAGAGAAAATAAATGTCATCGTGTAATGTTTGTCTATGTGGAGAAAGAAAATTTTTTTTTGTTTTGTGTCACATAGAATATAATCTACTAGCTGATGTCAATGACTCACTGCCTCATTTCTAAAACGAATTCATTGATGCGCTTGTTAGGATCATTTTGTAAATTGTTGCAATAAAAAAAAAAAATAAATAATGGCACAGAAAAATTACGCAAAGCTTACACAGTTATTATAAAATATTTTTGAAGTGGCCATTTTTTCTTTTTTAATTCTCTGCATATTATGCACCAGCGACATCAACGGTGTGGATGTGGGTGGATGTGGGAACGTGTGTGTAGGTGAGTATTCGCTTCCGCCTAACCCATACCCACACCCTGCAACTCTTGATGAATCTGAAGCATTATTGAACAATAATGAAGACCCTCAATCTCAAGAAGATGAGGACAACAATGAGTTCGTTTCAGCAGTCTCTGATGCACAAGCTTATGAACTGCCGGATGATACTATTCATGTTCTTGATGATATACTTTTGCCACAACAGTCGAAATAATTTCATCAGAATATCATTTCTTTAGTTATACCTACAGATAATTATAACTCACGTCAAAGAACAGTGGAACAAAACTAATTAGCTAACTAGACAGATAATGAATCTTCACGCTTTTCTGTTGCTAAATTTTTTTCTCTCGGTTTCATTGTTACGATTCGTAGCTCTTATGAATCATACAGGACAATACAGCCAGTTGGAACGACCACAGAACGAAGAAAAAGATGACTTTTCACGGGACTCGAACCACGTATCTTCTGCTACCCAGGCAGATGTCCTAAGCCAGTTAGACTAGAAGAGACATCTCATCTTCGTCTTATGTACAGAGGGAAACACTCTGTACATAACATTCTTTTACTCCTTTTGCTTTACTATCCATCTATACAATAGCACAGACACTGACCATTTGGCTCAGTTATACTAACACGCACGTGTTTCTCAATGGAGTCATCGAGTTCATTATACTCTCATTATTTGTCTGTACAACAAAGAATATTACAACAAGCATGTGATAAATAAATATTCTTACATTGGCAAAATCAATTCATCTGACAGCGTTCTCTTGGTGTTTATTGAATAAAATCACCATTTAGCGCAAAATACGTGTAAAATATACATCGATTAAGTAAAATCGGTATGATCTTCTTTAGTGAAAACTTGTCCCACATATTAAGTCTATCAGAAATCCCATATTTTCATACTCATCTACATGTAAAACTTTGATTTCAATAGAAGTTTCTGTACTGAATCTCAAAAATGACATAGCGCGAAATATTTTTGACCTAAGTCATTTGTCGTTTTTTAGCTTTATCATTAGAGAAAAAATGGTAAAATGATGTTTCGAGTGTGTTTCTCAAGATGATATAAGTCTTTTATCAAGGCATTTCTTTTTTCTCGAAAATAATTGATCTTTTAGTCAAGAATCGATAAGTGCATTTTTGATGAAAATGTCCAAAAGTCATGTATAGTGAACAACATTGTCATAGACTTTTGAGGACTTTGCTAGTACTTTAGAACGAATATTTTTTTATCAACAGATGCGCCTTTTCAAGCTCTATAAGTATATGTAAACTGAACTTTAGACACTCAAAAAATAGTTGCACAATAAAAACATCTGCTCTATTGATTGGTATAATTTGATAATGGTTTTGATCAATTTTTTGTCATCAAAAATATCATACATGCATATGAACCAAAAGTCATGGATTTTGAGATACCCGAAAATTGTTTCAAAACAATCGAGTAGGCAAAGTATTGGAAGACTTCATTCAAAAGTTATAAAAATTTGGGTTTGTGGCTAACGTTGTTTGCTCTTTCAAGCTAGCTGACTCTTTTTAGAAAAAAAAACTTTTGGCAACTCACCCGTACAATTTTGGGTAGTGGGTTCCGTGAACCTTCTCTTAATATTATCAACAGTCTCAGTTGGCAATAAAACTTCAATAATGTTCTATTGAACTATCCATAAACTCTAAATATCAATAATTTACATTCTAATTTAATTTCTCAAATATATATTTCCTTACGTTGATAACTAACTTTATCATTTTCATCTTTTGTAAAGGTTTTCTTAAAGACATTAGTTTTGTTCGTTAAGCAACTCAGCATTGCTTTTGTCGACTCGATTGTGTTCATCTTTTGTTAACAAAATCGATCTATATTTAAATCTTATGTTAGTGTAAAAATAGAAAAATAAGAAATAATACACATTTCTTTTCTTACCAAATGTATTGAATAAGTTTTGTAATCCAGGCAAAGTTATTCGGCAATATTCACTGATCAAAACTTCGAATTCGTCGAGTCATATAACATCACATGCTTTTTTCAAGAATAGAAGACAGTAATTAATAATCATTAAGTCAGGAATAAAAATACTTACTTTTAGTATGAATAAAATGCATGAATTCAGCCTCATCATCAGCTTTTCACGGACCACTAGTGATTAAAGTACTAAGTTCATTGATATCCTGATTAGAAATCATGCCATCATGATTCATATTAAATAAAGAAAAAAAAAATTTCAAATCTAATTAAATATAAACATATTTAATAAAATCGAAAAAATATACTTCGATTCATTTAACCATAATTAATAATAGACAAAAGAATAGACTGATGGATGAATGAATAACGAATGAAAGTTTCTATGAAAATTTTTTAATAAGCAAATAAAATACGTTCCAGGAGACATCTCTGATTTCCTTTCATTTCTAAAATTGATCTTCATATTTACCTTTCAAATTAGGTCAAACTATTCTTTTGTATCATTCAGTAAAGAATGCCTAATAAGTCTTGATTCTCTTTCAAATGGTATTATTTTATTATATACTTTTTCAGTAGAATCGACTGATATTTATAGCATATGTAGCTGATATCAAAATTTACTCTACGCTACAATTTCAGTTTATTTGAATGCTTTCTGAAAAACTCTTTTTTGCCATTTTATTAGGAATGTCAAACAAAAAAAAAAGGAACAACGGTTTGAATGAAATTGACAAATTGAAATTCCTTAAACGTAACAAGAAACAAACATGCGCCAATGTTTATGTATCTCCTTTCCATCTTCATCTATCACGCGCTTCAATCAACTTGGTAGTTTTTTTCATCATTTACGCACATTTTGAAGAGGTAAACGTTTGTCATTCTTGCTCCACTTAATCTTTCAACTCTGACTCATTTTTAAATCTTTCTTCTCTCACTTTATCTTTAATTACACTCCAAACTATCTCGACTGGTCAAATATTAGTGAATTTTTGCATTATCAACCTGAGAATCACTACTTCATCAAATAAAGATTGAATAGTATTCATCACAAATGTTGTTCGATGTTTGCTATCCGAATCATCTTGAGAAATTGCTACTAAGCTATTGATAATCAATCACGTGGACAAATGACAGAACACACGAGTCATCCGCAGAGAACTAAAATTTACTTTTTATGAGAGATTTGTTGAATAAATAAAGTTTTTTTTATCCTTTCTGTTTGAAAAAATTGTTAAAAAAACTTCTATGAATTTTCTATTACTTGTATCTCTGGTACTGTAAGACGTAGAAACTTCAAATTCTATTGTAGAGTAAAGCTAAATGTCTAGTATATTTATTGTAAATATCAACCATTCTACTAGAAAGACATAATAGAAAAGAACATGCCTTGAAAGGGGATCAAAATTTATTTAGACACCCTTTATTCTTTGATATCACACAGAGAAAAAGTCAGATTCTCTTGTCATAATACTAAACATAGATATATTTAACACTTCGTTATATGCTTATCAACACATGATGTTTTTATCTAAGTGTATATAAAGATAATATTCTTAACTTTTTCGTTTTTTTTAATAAACGACTTTCTCATAATAGTTGATCCAGAAACGTGCATTACAAAACCATATGGCTACACATCCTATTTCTACTCCATCAAGTGGATCCACTGATGAGCATGTGTCTCATCCATTGGATGATATAGACCAAGAGGATATGTCACAATCACCATCATTATTTACATCTGTAAGATAGTACCTACAATAATAGTCATGTTGCATGTTTTATCCTATTTATTTACTTAAGACACCTCCAAGAAAACGTAGTCAGTCGTTTTTACATCGATTACAAAAAGTTCTTCATTTAAAAACATCTAATGGAAATCATGACGATTCGTCTCAGCGCCCACGAGCATCATCAATGGCACATCCTAGTAAAGCAAATCCATCAGAAAGATCATCCTCCGACAATTATTCTGCAAAAAGACCTGGTGCAAATCAGAACGATTCGTCTCAGCGTCCACGAGCATCATCAATGGCACATCCTAATAGAACAAATCCATCAGAAAGATCATCCTCCGACAGTTATCCTGCAAAAAAAACTGGTGCCAATCATGACCGTCCATCTCAGCGCCAACGAGCATCAACAATAGCACATCCTAGTAGAACTAATCCATCAGAAACATCACCTTCCGACAATGGTCATGAAAAAAACAAAAACGGACGACAAAGGGCAAAAACAATCAGTACAATGGGTTCAACAGACAAAAAAACGTCATCAAAGAAAAAAGAAATTTTGGATACAGACGAAAAAGCACAACAATCAAGATCTGTATTTGAATTCGCATTTTTTCGTTAAAAGAAAACACGACATTTATTTTCTGATCTTCTTTTTTTATTATTCAAATGAAACCATGTAACTTATTCTTTCTAAAAGATGAAAAACATGTCTAAATTAAATATTATTAATTGAATAAAATAATTGACTAATCTTTCTTGTCGATCATTATTTGTTTTATACACTTTCTCTTCAATCGTCTTTGAAATCAACACGGAGAATTATAAATCAAACAGTATAAAATTGAAAGATTCGTCATCGATCATCAGAACAAAGAACCAAAGAAGAGAAACAATGTGCACAGTAACAATAAATTTTTACTCAGTTTCTATTTCAACAATTGTTGAATAAATTATAAATCAATTAATAAAAAATGAATATTACAACTACTAATATGTCTATTCATTATCATACTTTATCTACAATGTGTTCACAATGTAGTTCAATGGCACATTTTTATTTGTCTCAATCATTATAGTAAAATTTTCTGTAGAAAATTTAGTATTAAACATCGAACAGTAGTTTTACAACAAACGAATGATCTTATATAACAATTAAAACAATGTTGAATTGATTCGATAACAACACATAATGAAATTAATAATAATTTTTTATGCGCTTCTCAACAAACTCTTCAACGTACTCGTAAGACTGTTAATATTTTAATTGTTGATATTCAACAACATGAAGAAAAAATCATCCAAGAAATTGAAAATAATTTCGAATTACAGCGAAGACAACTAGAAAAAGACACTAAGTATGAGGACAAAAAAAACGTTTTTAGGAATTTTCAGTTTTCGATTTTGTTTTTGAAATTAACTGATATAGAAATCTCAGTGAGATAGGTGTGGGGTGTGTGAGTGTCGGTGTAGATCTGACTCTGCGTAAAAATAAGACTAACACCCACACCCACCCCAAATCTAGATTTTGTTGAATCAATATTTAATAATTTTGATCGAACTTCTATCCAAACAACAAACACTATTTCCTTTAACTTTTGTTTTATAAATAGGTAAATCAAGTGAACGAATAATTCCATGATCACCACTAATAAGTACATACTTAAGATGATTTGATGTTGCATAAAAAAACTGAATCATGCTAATAACGATAAGTAATTCATATTATTTGACCATATTGCATATTTAGCTTTGCCTATTCTTACACTTGCTCATGAACGTTTTCATTGAGCATCATATAAACTAATATGATTATTTTCACGAATTAATAAAAGACCTGTACCAGCATAAAAAATTTAATGAAAAAATTTCAAAAAGAATCAAATAAATGTAAACTTACAACATGATTTTTATCAAGGACAACAAATTGATTTCGAGCAACCCATACAGCATTTAAATCAGATGAATGACGACTTTCAGGTGCTGGAAAAGAAAAACATACGTTTAAACTATCGAACAATTTATATAAGATATATTTCTCTTTCTTAAAGTGAATCATTAATTGCTTTTTTTTCACATTCGAAGATATCTAATAAAAATAAACCTGACTTTCAATTTAATATTGATGAAAGAAATCGGAATCATCATCCATTAAAATTCTTTTCATTTCGAATATGTCATACCATCCAGGGTTTGTGTTGAACTTGTTGATTCACCAACATCTTTTGGAATAGTATAAAGATCATAAATAGAATTATCCGATTTAGATGGTACACGTGAATCAGTAACATGTTTTTTTTAAATAAAATAAAACCATTTATTTTAGAAATTCTTAGAAAATTTCTTTCGTAATTCCATAAGAGAAACATCTTTTGATGTTGTGATTTCCAATCGTCGTAAATATTTTTCTTTAAACATAATAAACAAGATTTCCAAAAAAAAAGCATAAACTGGTCGTTCACGTTTCAATTTAAATATGATCATTCCATTATTATGACCTAGAAAACAAATATTTTATTTTATTTTTAATTTTTGAAAACGAAAAGAATCTAACTAGCAGCAAAATAAATTTATTGTTGGATGAACTGTTAAAATCCTAAATCGATCATTTTTACCATAATTTAATTTAAATTGAATTAAAATAAAATGAACCATTTTGTCATATTTCAAACTCGAATTGATCTATACGTATTGATTTTCCAAGCTTTACTTTCATTCATACGCCATAATTTAACAAGACGATCATGCCCTTGTAAGACATATGTTTTACAATTGCATCAGTCTAAATATTATTACAAATTTATATAGTTCAACAAACACCTGAAGTATTCAACTTATGGTATTATAATACATTGCTGGGTTAAATGTTTCATCAAATATAATCTAATGACGATCTACAAAAAAAAACACTATAAAACATTGAAAAGTTTCAATAACTGAAATAAATCCATATTTTGTATAATAAAAATTTTCAATTCTACTGTAGTTGATCTGTCGAACAGAAACAAAAAAGAATTGAATGATGAAAACATACTTAAATATTGTGTGTATCTTCGTCTACTACGTGCTCACAAATGAACATGACAGAAAGAAAAAATGAAAAAAATAGATCAAGAGAATATTTTTTTTTCTTTTCTTCTCTCGTCTGTAAGTTATTGTTCATGTTATCATTGATGATCGATGATAATATGACACAATCAACATGCATATCATTAAGCATTATCCATACACATACATTGAGATATTTGTGATTGAATTTATTTCAATGTAATGCGTGTATGCTGATTGGGAAAGCGAAAATTGGTCGAACGAAAAATGCTCGATATGAAAATTGGTCGACGCGAAAATTAGTCGATACGAAAATTGATCGAAGAAAAAGTTGGTCAAAAATGTTGTTATAAAAGAACAAAAGCTTTTTCGTAATCAGAACCTCTAACTCTTATGTGTAACAGCAAAATTTACATTAATTATATTAATGAAAAAAGGAACCATCATATTCGAGGGATCTAATTCGAGTTAGACAAATACGTTAGAGAAATACAAAAAAGCAATAGCAGTTTAGAAAAAATGACTAAGTTCCTCTAATTCCTGTAGTAGGGTTGCTTGTTTCGAGAAGGTGCCTACAATCCTATCCTCACCCTCAGTCTCACCTACAAGGCAGACAACGTTACTACAACAATTCAAGCATTTGCTCATAGTTACTAAACTGCTATTGCTTTTTTGTATTTCTCTAACGTATTTGTCTAACTCGAATTAGATCCCTCGAATATGAGTATTCTTTTTTTTGATTAATATAACTAGTGTAAATTTTGCTTTTACACTTAAGTGTTAGAGCTTCTGATTACGAAAAAGCTTTTGTTCTTTTATAGCGAAATTTTCGACCAACCTTCTCTTCGATCAATTTTTGTAGACCCCGTGTGAATAGAATAACTAATAGCTTTTTCATTCAATCACGATTTATTTGTAAGAGAAAAAGAACAAAAAAAGAAATTAATCATCGTATTGAGTTCATTCGATATCAAATTTTTGTACTCGATTATTCCACTGATCGGCGACATTGAGATTGCCATATCGATCGAATGATAGACCTATGGGACGATCAAGTTGATTCGATTGTGCTCCTTCACCGTTTCCACCAACAATGACACTTCCTTGTATTGCTCCTTTTGGCCAATGCATGATTCGATGATTCCCAGAATCAGCCACATAGACAGTACCCAATTGATCAACAACGACTCCATTAGGATGATACAATTGTGTAAGACTGTTTCCTTCTCCTTGACCACCGGCTACGACAATGCCTTGTTTTGCACCTTCTTCCCATTTCATTACACGATGATTGTAACAATCAGACACATAAACTGAATGATCTCGATCGACGAATACGTAGCGGGGATCAGAAAGTTGATCGAGACGATTTCCTTTTCCATTGCCACCTGCAACTACTGTTCCTTGAGTGTCACCAATTTTGTATTGTCTCACTTCATGTTTTCCGTTGTCAACAACATAGAGAGATCCAATGTCGTCCATCGTCAAACCCCAACAAGAGATATTCGAAATAATTGTTTCTCCACTAGTACCATTTAGGCGAGGCCATTGAAGTACTCTTTTATTCCTGTAATCGCTGATGATGAGACTATCTCTCTCTTTGTCGATAATCACATCTCGTGAGCCATTTACTTGATGAGCTCCATTTTCAACGGCAACTACTTTTCCGTTCGTTGCACCAGATTTCCATTCCACAATACGGTCATTATACCAATCAGCGATATAAATCGTTTGATCATCGTCGACGTATAAACCATATGGGCATTTGAGTTGATTTATTTCACTGCCTTCTCCATTTCCTCCAGCTACAGTGATACCATTCTGTGTCCATTTTGCATTCGGATGAATATCAATGAAACTTGCACGTAGTGGTACTGAAATGAAAACAAAAGTATGAAGTAGAAATAGACATCGATTTCATTGAAATGAGTCATTCTCATTTGCTTTAAACAGTATTGAATTGCTTTCAATTACAAAAGCTTTTTACTTATGAACTTGAGTAGAATCTGATTTTTTCAATGTTGAAAACAAACATTGTTGACGTTTTCAAATATTTTGTGTTATAATTCTTAGTTTGACTAAAACTAACTCAGATTTAACTGGTAAGGTGGGAAAGGATTAATAAGACATATTTATCAAACGAAATAAATCTAAAACAATATGAACTTATGAAAAATTACGATGAACTCGGATTTAATCGTGAATTAGTTCGAGTTTGAAATATATTTAAATTTTGCATATCATCAATATAAAAATTATTTCATTTATTTTGTTTGGATTTTACAAGATATATATGTAAAAATGAACTTTTCGTGTACTTGTTTTATTTTTACAATAAATTGAGTTATAATAGAACTTGAACGTAAGTAAAAGTAATCGAATTATTCAAATAGCTCTTTGAAAAGTAACGTACGTTGCAAGAGTAGTGATATGAAATGTTGATTCTTCTTTCTCTTCGAGAGACATGTACTGAAACAAATTTTTTTTTGCCAAAAGATAGAGCTTTTTCTCCTCTTTCAAACGGTATATGATTTATGTTCGTCATCCATTTCTGAGTGAGATGAGACAAAGAAGAAACACAACTACTGGCGCAATAAATTTGCAACTTTTATATGAATTCATTAAAAACATCTTGCTAGACAATAATTCATTTGATGTTTCCGTACTCATTAAAAAGCTCTTGTAAAACTGTAGTTACTACACGTTTTATAAACTCGTTAAAACAGCTTGCAAAACGATAGTTAATTATACTTAACTACCATCCATAAGACGTTTTGGACTGATTTATATAAAAATTGCAAATCTTTTGTGCAAGTATTTTTCTTTCTTATTCGTCTCATTCCATTTACGAATGTGTGACAAATATAAATCATACATCATTCGAAAGTATTTTGTGCCATTAACTTTGCATCGTACGTTAAGTATGGTCTTATTATTGAGTAGAATTTCTTTCGATGTATGAGATGATTTTACAGTACAATATCGTGGTATATGTAAGTATAAATTTTATATATTAAATTTTTATTTGTTTTTATTTAGATATGTTTTTGCTAACATCGCCGTAATGATAAGTATCAGTCAGATGCATAGCTGTGGTGATGTTTGGTAAAAAGTGATGGAAAGTGGGAGAAGATGATGAAGAACGGTTGACTAGGGAAAGGGAAGGTCAGAGATTAGAACAGAGCGATGCGATCGATGAAAAACTATTTGAACTCTATAAAATTTTGTATGAATAATAGAAGATCTTGCACAATCTTAGAATATGATCATACAAGAATCGTACCTTAACATTCGAATTTTATTTGTAAACGGACAGAAAACGACCAAATACGGTGCGTTTACCATACGGATACAATACGGTGCGTATTTCTGCGCCAGGAAATACGGATTAATACGGACCGAGATGGGCCCAAATCTATTCGGTATACTACCGTAAAAACCCCGTTTTGATAGACCTGGGTTGATTAGAGCACAAAATGATACAAGTGTATTCAAATGACACCATTTGAATCTTTGTACGTGTATATGTATCAAGATTTTTTAGCATTGGGCAATAAGTCAATGGATGTACCCTGGCTACGCCACGGATTATGAGATTTCAGTTTTTAGAAATTCTTTTTTTTTCTTTTGTGAAACAAATATAGTTTTATCAGTATCATTCGAGGTCGGACGAGACCAAACTGTCAAAAAAGAGGTTTGTTATGAGTCGAGTTGGCTGAATGCCAATCTCGGAAATACGATCGACAACAAAATTGACTATCATAAATCATAAATAGACTAATATTGCTCTAGTCTTCACTAAGAACGAGATGTCAAATTGAAATTTTTTTATTTGTAACTAGGCATTCTCGTCTATATATGATTCCTTTTATCAACAAAAATATGATACAGCTGATTTTAATATTCATGATTTCTCTCATTTTTCTTCTCTCTATAATATTATCTTTCGAAGAAAGGCATGTTGTCTAGATATTTCTAGAAACAAATTGTAACATCACTTATCAAGCATAATTACTGTTCTTATATTACCAGTACCTGATGCATATTAATTCTTGAAATCTTCATTGCAGCGGTTTAGGATTCTGTGCGGATGTTTTGAAGAACAAACTATAGTATGAATCCTTACAGAACATATCCTAATCAGAACCAGGCTCTTGATTGAAAAACATAAGGATTCTCTTAGAAATTGTTACAATGCTCTTCTCGTTATGTACTGAAGTTTCACAACGACTTTGTTTTTAAGTATAGAATGCAGGATCTGTTTTTTAACATCTTCATAAAATCTCAACAATAAAACTCAGCTAGGACGTTTGAGGATCCTTTCTTGCAGAAGTTGTTCAAGTTCATAATAAATTTCTCTCTTGAATTTTGATAATAGTATGTCATCAGAATACTTGAAGGAATAGCAGGGAGAGTGGAGATTCTATGAATAATTGTAGTTAGGTTAGGGTAAATCAATAATTCTGCCGACTGTCGATCAGGTTCTGTTTTAAGTACAAGACTGTATATAGTATAGATAGTTGCAAGTACGTCTTTTATAGCGTATTCAAGATTTGATTAAGGTGTGCAAATTTTGATTAGAACACAATATAAATTTGAAATAGTCAATGTCGAGTAAAATCTAAGAATTAATGAAGCCGAGAATTCTTTTCTCAAGTTTTTATTATGTCTCATTCGGAATCTAACTAAATCTTGAAGTATATCAAAATATTTTGATTTGAGATTTAGCTCGGGAACAATATTTTGTCTTTGCACGATCAGAAAAAATTCAAAATATTTTTTTTTCTGAGTATAATAGATGAGGTTAAAAAAGAATATTGTGAAACTTGATAATTTTATGTGAGAAGATGATATAGTTCAATTCTGTAAGGTGATCAGTATTTCATCGAAAGATCTACAAAATCAATACTCGATGAACTTATTGCTAATCTGTTCTTTGTAGAATATGCCGCAAAGGTCCTTTTCTAGAAATTATGTATAGATGCTCAATATTTCAATTGAGTCCTGTTTCAAACCGTATTAGAATTTCGAAATTTTATGACTGTATACTTTCTTCAGAAGAAAAAAGTGAGTTCTTGCAGGATCTCTTTTGATTTTATCAAGTACCTTCAATGCACTTTTGCTACTCATGTGTTATCAAAGCGAAGACGATCGCCGAAACCTATGCTATTCCAAACATACATATCATTCATATCTACATCCTATTTCCTGGTCTGGTTAGGGCAAAAAATATATTACCAGAATGAAACATAAATTAATTTGCGCTTGTTAGATAGTCTTTCGATTGCTCTATATAGAATCATTGAAAGGTATTTTGCCACTTGAAATTACGAAATAAAAAGTTCATGCGAACAAAAAAAATTATGCAAAGAACTTTTGGAGGATGGTACATATAATTGCATCTCAAGATAGAGGTCTAGAAAACAAGCCAAGTCTATAATCTTATAGCGCGAGTTTCACTTTGTGATTTGAAATATTTTTCGGTCTTGTAATTATATTGAGATATATCAAAGAAGACTTCATCAAACTCCTGCAAGGTTATTGAAGAAGAAAAGGGAATAAATATTGTTTTCGAAAAACTTCTCTAGAGTTCGTTTGTGAGAACTCGCGATGAATACAAAGTAGAAAGCTGAAAACCGGAATTTATTGACATCAAAAGCTGTGTTTTCGTTTCCAATAAGAATAAAGGGGATCGGTTCTTTATAGATCATGACTCTGTTCCCTCTCGGATTATCTCTTAAGACTTTAAGTGAATATCTATGAGTACTTAGTATCACTGGCATCTATCAATCATCTTCATTTCTCCTGGTAAAGTTCGATTTTTTTCTAGCTCTTACCTTTCGGCAATGTCCCATATTTTTCTTCAAGTATCATATGCCAACGTGATTTCTCATAGAAAGCAAGTTGAATCAAACTTCCATCATTATGCAATGACTTCAGCTGTGCTATATCATCGGCTTCCAACTGACTATTGTAAAACTTCAGATAAGTCAATTTATGATTCTCTTTAGCAGCACGAATAAATGCATTTGTAAGTTCATGTGAGATAACCGATGCAGATATACAGAGACATGAAATAAATTTATCATTCTCCAATGATTTAATCAAATGAGCTTCTTTCTGATGTGATGGTTGTATATTTTGAACGTGCAGACTGAGAGATTTGATTGACTTGTGGCCACTCAATGTGACCAAAAGATTAATAACGAAAGTGTCGTCTTTGATACCAACGGAATCCATTAGATCGACTTCAACAAGTGTTATATTTTTCTTCAACATTTCACAGAAATGGGATAAAGTTAAAGGCGTATGCAGAGAATAAGTAAGTTTTAGTTGTCGTAGTGTATTTGTTTTCAAATTAAATATAGTATTCAGGAGATCGGTGTTGTTACAATATTCTACAATCAGTCCCGTCACAATTTCGTTCGCTTCAAGACATTGCTTCAGCTCACGTTCATGCCCAAGAAAGTCGCTCGTAGAAAAATCCAATTTTCGATGTATCTTGTTCTTCAGCAAAAGCCGAGTGAGCATCTGTGTATTTCCATCTTGATATGTGTCGCAAAAGCGAACTTTCAATGATCGATTCTTTAACTCAATGACCATATTTTTGCAGGTGTATTTTAACACTGATATTGGAAATAAATAACTGTAAACTTGAATCAAGGTCATATTCAAACAACGAATCGAAGAGCAGTTAATGACAGTGTCAAGCAATGTGTCGAGATTTCCTTCATTGAATGAACACCCTTGAAACGTAAGCTTTACAATATTAAAACCTTTCGTGAGAGCTTTACACAGCATCATAACGTTTCTGCTGATATTGTTCCATGAACTTACAACTGCTTCATCGGTCTTCTGATTGAATTTAACTCCCATGCCCTCAAAGTCACTAATATATTGACGCATTTCATTGCTAAAGCTAATGTGATCGTAGTGTTTGAGGCAGATCCAGAGAATATGGCCATCAACAGTGACTGATCGATATAAATTTCCTAGATTACATTTACTGCCAATTAGTTCTAAATATGTTTCAAGTTCTCGCAACTCTGTGTTTTGAAGTGGGATTCTCTTTGACTTCTCCATGTCAATCATTGGAGAACTTACAGGAGTTTCTTTGTTGTCGAATTTATTGATTAAGGCGTCAACCATTTTTAATTGCTGTTGCATTCTTTCACAATACTCAGGAGTATTAGATTGTGACGGTAACGCATTATTGACTTCTGATGACACATTTCCCAGCTGTGGAGGATCAAAGCGTCCAATCGAGAGCAGCATTTGAACGATATTTAAAGTTGTTCTTAAATATGATCTATATCTTACAACGAAATCTCTCGGTTTTTTAATTAAATAACCATCATGAGGAGCGACATGCATTTCATCTGGTTTACGTGAACACTCACATAGAAAGTAGAGTTTATAATGGATGTCATACCAGTTCTGCACGTTGTTGATAAATTCTTGGTCACAATACTTCGTCGGTAAAATGAAAAAATAGCACGGTGTGGTAAAATCATTCAGTTCATACATTTGCGCCATCATTTGCTGAATCTGGACTAGCATCCCTTGTGTATGATGATTGATATGATCTAGGCAACAACGCATAACCTGATGAATATATCCCATAGGGAGAGTGTGAATATGAATGAAGGCAAGACTGACACCCATATCTTTAAGAGCAATGCATACTGGTTGTTTTTTTCTCATGAGAAAACTCCACATTAAACAAGAAAAATTTTATAATATAGTAACTCATTTTCTTTCTATACGGAGTGACAAATGATAATGTTTGACATATTCAATACCTGGCTTCGTAGCCTCATTTTATAAAGGTATAAGAATGGATGGAAATTTAAAAGGAGGATTTTATATAGGATTCTTCTAACTATAAATGGAACTGTTTTCCTTTAAGAGAAGTTCGTTTAAACTTAAATCGGTTAAAATAAAACCCATTATATCACAAACTATTTATATTAATGAGAATGAAAAATGACTAATGTATGTCTCGTATTGAAGTTATTTTAGATCAACTAGAAAAAAAAATAGCAATCCATTGATGGATGATTTTTTTGTATTATTTTTTAAAATACTGGCCAATATTTTTTGAATGGTATTGTTTCAGGTATAATTTTCTCATAAAGGTGACTTTTGAGATGTAGTTTATCAAATTGCTGCGATAATTTATACTATGGCCACAGGGAATTGCGCCTTTAAATGTCTAGGCATAGTGAAACTAGACATAATAATTTCAAGTAGACAGTTTTTGTTGGAGAACAATTTTAGACTATCTTTTACATTGAGTTATTTTTCTTGCCACAATCATTCAAAAGAACTGAAACCATACAAATGAAAAGAATAAAACATGAATTACACCTCGATAACTAAAGTAATCTAAAAGTAAAGTATCTGTGAAATAAAACTCTTATATTATAAGAGACAGATGACAGTGTAGTAAATCTTTTTTCAAATAATATACTCGAAAGGGCACCTGAAGCTGCAAGGTTTTCAGAAAATGACTTCACTAAATCGAAATTTTTCTTTTAAACTTGAAATTGGTTTCCATCTGATGCAATATCAAATGCTCTTTCAAATATAATATTTCGAAAGCAAAATTACTCGCATTATAAAAAACAATAAAGAATTCACAGGATCCTTGTCAATCATTTGTTATAAAACAAGCATTTCATTTCATAGAAATTTTGTTTTTAGAACTTTTTAGTTACTAAAATGTAGCTTGTGGGGGTGGATGTGGGTGTGTATCTTTTCTTCTGTCATCAGTATACTCACTAGAGACCTGCGGAGTCAATCTTTTTTGACTCCGACTCCGACTCCGACTCCGAAATTTTTTTCCTATGTAACTCCGACTCCGACTCCGGAGTTTTTTTTTCTAAATGACTCCGACTCCGACTCCGAAAGTTTTTTATGAATAACTCCGACTCCGACTCCGAAAAACTCCGAAAATTTTTCCTATTGTAAATCAGCAGCAGCTCACATGTATGGAGATATTATGTAATTTAAAGTTAGTTTACCATCACAAATCAAGTCTGATTGACGATTATTGTGCACGAATAAATAGATATGCAAAATATTAGATAAAAAAACTAAAGCTGATTAAATTTTCAACCTCTTTTTAAATATTAAATATAAGGGTGGTCACAAATTTTCGACCCGTGTCTCCAGATTGGCGTTATTTACATGAAATACATATATAGACAGTTGATCAAAGTATACAATTTTGTAGAGAATGATTAGAGCTATTATCTGAAAACAGTTAGTTCAAACTGTGTCGGACTAATCAAAAGTTATAGTCATTTTATTAATCATGACTATGCATTTTCCATCTTACATTTTTTGTAAACACAGAAATATTTTTATAAAGTTTGAAGAGAATTATTGCTTTCTAGATAATTTTATATGTTTGGAGATAGTTTGTCAATTTCTACAAGAATATGAATATCACAAAGAGTTCTAATCCTATTTCTTGTATAAAACTTGGAGGAAATTAGAAAAAAATAATAAAAATCTCACATATCTTGCATTAGAGAGAGCATGCTTAACTTTGGCTAACTTTATTTGATCGATTGTTCGTCTGTTCTTGATGCTCAGAAAAATCACTGTCACTCTTAGTATGTGACAACACACTTCGAAACATAAATTGACAGAAAAAAAAGTTGATCTATTGAAGTTACTGATAGTTAAGTATACTCTTTCAATGTATGATATACCAGATTTTCAATAGTCTTTCTGACTTTCCTCAAGTTTTGTATTGGAGAGCGAATTAGAATTTTTTCTAACATCTATATTCTTGTAGAGCTTGTCAAATTCTATAGAACCATATAAAAATAACTAAAAGAAAACAGACAGCAAACAATATTTTGACTGTTCTTAACAACTCAACGAGTACAAGAATACTTTTGTTTTTACAAAAAATGTAAGATGGAAAATACATAGTCATGATTAATAAAATGACTATAAATTTTGATTAGTCCGACACAGTTTGAACTAACTGTTTTCAGATAATAGCTCTAATCATTCTCTACAAAATTGTATACTTCGATCAACTGTCTATATATGTATTTCATGTAAATAATGTCAATCTAGAGACAGGAATCGAAATTTTGTGACCATCCTTTATTTGGAATAACTGCGAAGCTCTTGTCATGAGAAGAAATTGCAAGTCTAATTAAATAAGAAAATGGATCCATCAAAGTAGTACCTATAAGAAAGACGATAAAATACAAGTGAAGTTTGGGATAATTTCCACCAAGTTTTCGTTTACTTGACGTTACTATTTTGAAAAATAATGTTATTTAAGAAAAGAAAAAAACTTTTCGGAGTCTACCAAATTTTACATCAACTCCGACTCCGACTCCGAAAAAAAAGTTTGACTCCGGTTCGACTCCGACTCCGAAAAAATCTTGGTTTTTAACTCCGACTCCGACTCCGACTCCGGCGGAGTCGGAGTCGGAGTCATTTTTCGGAGTCTATTGCAGGTCTCTAATACTCACACCTCACACCCTTGTTCGCACTTATGGAGAAATGCGCCTTTCTGTCTCTAGTCTCACACATCAAGAAGAGATAGAACGAAATCAAAATACATATTTCTATCGTTCACCGTACTTCTCCGTACACTTCCATTCAGATAGTCGTGTATCCGCTTCGGTAAAAAAAGTGGTAGAATTCTTATCTGCTTTCAAGTTTGTTTGACTTTTTATTGTGAAGGTAGAAACTGTCGAAGGATTTTTTTGTTCATATTTAATCGCTTCTAGCTTTTAATGAACATAAAGGACGTTTGTTTTTTCAAAAGAAAACATTTTTGTGACTTTATGAGCTGTGAGCTACCTCTGCTGTGAATATGTTTGGGACTATTTTCTGTG